CAAACATTGGAACAATAGATCCCAATGAAATATATACACGAATTGTAACAAAAAAAAAAAAACTTCTGGGCAACTTCCATAGGTCCCAGTCAGATCCATACAATTATTGTAACAAACGCAACAACAATTAACCGCTTGGATGAATCAACTTTACAGAGCACATTAGCTTAAGCCTGAGAAATTAATGGTTTACTTATTTACATACACAATATATAAAGTTTACATAATGTAAAAGAAGTAGCGTTTTTCATGGCGATTTACAGATATAATCCACGAGTATTAAAAATAATACCACGAGTCTCCTTCCCTGGCTCTTGTCTTATAAATCTCTTAAAATCCACTAGGTTTGGTTGTCTGGATGAAAAAAAAAATGGTTTGTAAAGTGGAAAGTATACAAACTGAACAAAATATGTCGAGATACAACAAACAATAAGTTTTATTTACTTCAACGTTTTACGTCTAAAGTGTATAATTTCTTTCCCCGTTTCATTTGGACCACAAAATGTACTTCAAACCTTTGAAAATAATTTAAATACTGAAGTGTTACATGATACTTGTCACGACGTAAAAGTTATTAGTATTTAACGCAACCATTTTTATCTGTCAGGCAAGATTCCTATCATCATCATTCAGGGTTGCAAACAGCAGACAGCTATACATACATTGGGAGGAGGGGAAACAGGGATTGGGGCAGGGGAGATTTTAAACATTTTAACGTTAAGACATCTTTTTTACCAACGATTATAGTTAGATGCTAGTCTAATAAATCATTCAGAGGCGATTTCTCTAGCAATGAAAAATTAGAATTTTCTAAAATTAGCACGATCAATTGAACGGTAAATATTATTTTAATCGGCTCTAGCCTAGAGCGGTTATAAAATACCAAAATGCATGGTTAATGTTTTATAACTTGATCTTGGAGATTATAAACACAGGTCAGTCTGACAAAATGTAAAGATGATGATCTTTTTTTTCTTTTACAGAGTTGGATTACTTTTCTTTTCATACAATTAGCAAAGGAAAAGTTCTAAAATTCAATTATTAAAAAGAAGGGTTTAGATATATCTCTTTAATGCTGTTCTTACGTTTTTAACATTCAAGAACAGTCGCTATTTTCAAAACTTTTTAAATTTTTTCTGTCAGTAAGCTCAGATTATTTTGTAAAAAAACCATGGGAGCACACCATAATTAGTTTAGGGGATGGGTCAGTGTAAATTAAGAAATTTTTCTTATTTTTGTGCATATTTCAAGCATCAACATTAATTGGCTAAAATTAAGTTTTTTAAAACCAATTAAAATTATATAGCAAAACTTATCAAATTAACATCTGATGATGTGCATCTTACTCAACATTAAGAGATAAACCCTAATGAACTAAACCTTAAAACCTACTTAAACTTTTGCCAATCCCTAACCAAATCCACGTATTAATATATTTCAAAAGTTGACCCAAAGGGGTGACATTTTCTGTAATGCTAAACTATTTGAAACCATTTATGTTGAATTCAATGTCACACGTAAAGTTAAGTAAACGCTATCATCACGTAGAGCGCCATCAATCACCGTAAAATTTGCGTTGGAAATAGATTATCTTCCCCTGACACATTACGTTTCGACGACGTAAAGACAAAGGGTGGGCATAGATATGAAATTAGCATAGCCAAGATCTAGAGATTAAAGATTAGAAGGTAACTAAAAGAGAAATGACAAGGGATTATCGTTAATCCGGTCGTTGAGGTCTGGCCTGCTATAAGAGGCGGGGTGTTCTGTGTGTTGGTCACTCGTCACCGGTCATTGTGTGGTCAGGTAAGATTCCGGTGTTTGTGGTTAGCGTAATTCCAGTGGTCAGTTACTGTTTGCTTGTCTGTCGTTAGTCCATCTCTGGTTTTATTCAAGTGATCATTCATTATTTGTATTTGTAGTTAATCTACATCTAGTTTTAGTCGTGTGGCCAGTCGCTTGTTTTTCTATACTTTTTGTTTATTATTTGTTACTATTTGTTTATTTGTATTCGTGTGCTCAATAGCTGTTTATCGCAAGTTTCATTTGCATTTTCAATGCTTTACTTTAATTCTACAATTTTGAATCACTGCTACTTATAGTTTTTCACGTGTTAAAAAATAAATTAGTTTCCAAGTGAAATTATTTCTAAAACAACGTTTTATTAAATTATGTTTGGCATTTTAAAATGATAAGTTGAAATAAAGTTAGTTTGTTAAAATTTTAACCGTCAAATGTATTGTGGTACTTATAAGTACCCTAAGGAATATGGGACGACACACACATGTTCTTCGACAAAAAGCAATCAGTAAAAGGTATCAACTAAAACTATAATCCTTATAAAAGGATATTTTCATATAAAACGCAACACAAAAAGTACATTTTGACAGTGGCTTTGACTGCATATCTTTAAAGGAGCATATCCCGCACGTTTCTCCCACTAATCACGGCCTAAGTGTTGCCATTTTCTGCTGCCAATACCCCTTTGTCGACAGACGATTTCTTTCCTCTTTTCATTTTGTAGTCTCTCTTGGACAGGCACATTATATTGCTGGCAGCTTCCAAGAGCAATGTGCCTCTTGAACAAATAGTGTTGAAACTCAAGAGCCCCAATACACAAACTCTTGAGTAAATTAATTTTGTTGTAATTAAAAAGTTAGATGCTACAAACGTTAAATGCAGTTTGAGGCCTGCTCCTGAAAAGTTAGTACAGGTTTTGCAATAAGTACTGAGCTAATGACTTAAAGATTGGACATAATTTTGAAGTGTCTGTCTCTACGCAACGCACTAGGAGCCATTAGATCTACTATGTCTATGTCACCACACCAATAAAGATTTACTAGTGGCAAGCGATGTTAACCAAAATAGCCCCCCAAAACGTAATTGAAATCTTTAAGATTAACTGCCTTGACATACGAATGGCAGATTTGTTTGGTAAAAAATAATGTGCTAAGTTGTGCTGAGGCATCTTGATCAACAAGGTTTTAGTTGCTGAGTCATCCACAGAAAATGTATCACGGGTTCAATATCCTTCGAGTTGAAGTTTAGGACTCTACCTTTGGGAGATAGAGAGAGAGAGAGAAGCTCATATCATTCAGATCTTCTGATTCTATTCCTTTCATCGACTTTCATAGGAAAAAGTATCACCTGTTGTGTCACCGTCTGATCGAGAAGAAACTCAAACACTTTTCCTGACAAATACTTCTTAGATTTAAAAAAAAACGAAATTAAGTACACGTGTGAACGCAATAGAGCTAGCAAGTCTCGGTCTCCCTCATTTAAAATTCGAAATCTTGTAAGCCAGAGAAGGATCTTATTTTTTGGACTAAATTAATTGTTTTGAACATAATTTCCATTGAAAACAAAAAAAAATGGCGGCTATTTGTTTCTCCGAGATTTTAAAATTCAAAGATTCCCCAAAATGCAACAATTATGTTTTTGTTTACTGCAGGTCAAGGCTATTACTATTATTTCAATATTCTAATTACTTTTAGAACAACTTGTTATGGAATCGAAAAGATAATAACTAATTGTACGCCCCTTCAAAAAAAAATATCACAATTTAACGTAAGGCTATATTTTTCTATCTTCCTAAATATTAGTAAAGATCCCATAGATACTAAAGTGACCCACGCTTTTCTTTAAAGTTATTTAAATAGTAGTGTATAATTTATTTTCTACTTTTAGTGCATTATTACATAAAAGGATGTTATTAAAACGTTTTTTTATGAATTTTTTTCCGATTTAATAAAAATATTCACATGTAGTTTGAATTATTTTTTTTACCTTATAATAGATTCAAATTGATTTACTTCATGCCTAGACTATTAATATTATATTAATATTGTAACAACATTTAGGAGACGTTTTTTAGTGATTGAAATAACAAAAAACATCTTAATTTTATAAGTAATATGACCGTCTAACTAAAATGATACTTATAAGTACCGTCCTAATATAATAAACCAAATTTATATAAAGATTTTAACATTTTAAAAAATGCTAAAATTTCTAGCATTTTAGATTTATGGTAAAATTGTTATTTATCATATATAACATTAAAATACATTTCAACCACGTTTGATATTATTAAATAAAAACAAGCTGGAAGTAATTTTAAAATCACTTTGTTTTCTCATCTCCCACTAGGACTCTAAAAGTAAGGATGGCACGTATTCAGATCTTGGTTTGCTTCGCCATGTTGGCACTAGCCCATGCCCAGTACAGTGATAAGACTGGAACTGCCCCTGCCTCCACCCAATACACTGCCCCTGCCTCCACCCAATACACCGCCCCTGCCTCCAACCAATACACCGCCCCTGCCTCCAACCAATACACTGCCCCTGCCTCCACCCAATACACCGCCCCTGCCTCCAACCAATACACTGCCCCTGCCTCCAACCAATACACCGCCCCTGCCTCCACCCAATACACTGCCCCTGCCTCCAACCAATACACCGCCCCTGCCTCCAACCAATACACCGCCCCTGCCTCCACCCAATACACCGCCCCTGCCTCCAACCAATACACCGCCCCTGCCTCCAACCAATACACCGCCCCTGCCTCCACCCAATACACCGCCCCTGCTTCCAACCAATACACTGCCCCTGCCTCCAACCAATACACCGCCCCTGCCTCAAACCAATACACCGCCCCTGCCTCCAACCAATACACCGCCCCTGCCTCCACCCAATACACCGCCCCTGCCTCAAACCAATACACCGCCCCTGCCTCCAACCAATACACCGCCCCTGCCTCCAACCAATACACCGCCCCTGCCTCCACCCAATACACCGCCCCTGCTTCCAACCAATACACTGCCCCTGCCTCCAACCAATACACCGCCCCTGCCTCCAACCAATACACCGCCCCTGCCTCCAACCAATACACTGCCCCTGCCTCCACCCAATACACAGCTCCTGCTAGCTCTTCTACTGGCAGTCAGTACACTGCCCCCTCAACCAACACATACTCCGCCGGAAGCCAAGCCGGAAGCCAATATGGCACCCAAGCCGGAAGCCAATATGGTGCCCAATCCGGAAGCCAATATGGTGCCCCATCCGGAAGTCAGTATGCCTCACCCAGCAACAGCCAATACGATTCTTCCAACAACGTTGACCAATACCCCGGAAACGTGTATGACAACAAAAACACCCTAAACAACCAATACAACAACCAAAACAACCAGTACAACAACCAATACGACAACAACCAATACAACAACAACAACCAGTATAACAACAAACAATACAACAACCAATACGACAACCAATATAACAACAACAACCAATATAACAACCAATACGACAACAACCAATACAACAACCAAAACAACCAGTACAACAGCAACCCCTACAACCAGAACAACCAATACGGCAACCAGTACAGCAACCAGTACAGCAACCAGTACGGCAACCAGTACAACAACCAGTACGGAAATGGTGCCAACTATGACGGATCATACAACTATCAGCCACGTTACAGATACTCATCCCAGTACCTTCGTAACAGATACCAGAGCCAACCCGCTTACAACCAGGGCTCATACCAGGCTCAATCCAGCTACAACCAGGGCTCATACCAGGCTCCATCCAACTACAACCAGGCTCCATCCAGCTACAACCAGGGCTCATACCAGGCTCCATCCAACTACAACCAGGCTCCATCCAGCTACAACCAGGGCTCATACCAGGCTCCATCCAACTACAACCAGGGCTCATCAAGCAACCAGGGCTCATACCAAGCCGCACCAACCTATGCATTAGCTCCATCCTCCTCATCCTCTTCTGGATACCAAGCCCCATCCTCTTCCGGATACCAGGCCCCATCCTCCTCATCCTCTTCTGGATACCAGGCTCCATCATCCACTGGATACCAAGCCCCATCCTCCTCTTCCTCTTCTGGATACCAGGCTCCATCATCCACTGGATACCAAGCCCCATCCTCCTCTTCCTCTTCTGGATACCAGGCTCCATCATCCACTGGATACCAAGCCCCATCCTCCTCATCCTCTTCTGGATACCAGGCTCCATCCACTGGATACCAAGCCCCAGCCTCTTCTGGTTCAGGTAAGGGTACAAGCCACCTGTAGAACTGTTTACACGTGTAATCAATGGCTTCTAGATCTAGATATTATACATTACTCATAAACTTGGCGAGGCAATACAAGCTAATGTAGTCCTTAAGTTTGACAATTTGTTTTTAGAATTATATCTTAACACTAACAGCTTTGGGATATCTCTTAACAATATTACAGTCTATCTTATTTTATTATTCATTCCTTGATTGTTTCCCTTGTTTTATTTTTCACAGCAGCCACAAGCGGAAAGACCTATTAAAGAGTTTTCGCTCTTCATGTCGGTGACGATGCCAAAAACCAAGTGAATGTATTCCTTATTGTTTCGTAGTTTGTGGAATACGTTTAAAAATTACTTTTGAAATTTATTAAATAAATTGATTCAATGTGTACAAAATTGTGTGTTCTCTTTTTACTTTCTCGTATACAGTATGGAGGAAATAATTATTGTAATCGTGCACAAAAATCACATTAAATTTTGACAGTTTCCACCATTTTAAACCTCAGTACTTCATCACATATGGCGTATAGGTGACTTATTTTATTCTGGCAAAAATTTTAAATAAAAATTTCGGCGTTTTTTGCTTATTCGAGTCGGAAAAACTGCAATTCTGTTCGTGTGTGTGTGAGAGAGTGTGTTTGTATGTCTATAAACACGATAACTTGAGTATCGTTATATCTAGGTAGATGAAGTCTCATATATAAATATTATATCAAATTTGTTGTTCTGTATCAACTTTTCAGCGATTTTCGATAACCGGAAGTGGGAATCATTCTACTTTTAGTTTTTCAAAAGTCTATAACTTCATTGTTTCAGATAGATAATCGCACTTCTAAGTAAAAAATCTAATTTTCTGCCTTCTGTACAATTTTTGGTTGACCGGAAGTAGTAATCGCTGGTTCCGATATCAAACAAAAAATTCAAATATATATAGCTCAAATGGTTTCTGTATCGCTGTACTGGACAGCAATCGGACGGACCCTTGACAATAGAGAAATAGAGAAAAAAAACTTGACTTTATCGCCATAGTGTAATACACTTAAAGTGTTTAATATTTAATGTAATGATTAAAAAAATCTGTTGCATGAGGTTATGTAAACAAGTTTCTTTTCCCAAACGTATAATTTTATTTAAAGTCATGTGGAACAAACAAAGTCAAAGAATAAGTATCATCCTTCACACAAACATTTTTAAGTGTACAAATTACTTCACTTTGTTCCTTAATTTTTAATTACTTCCCTTGATTAATCCTAAAGTTTTTTTTACTTCCCTTGAAGAAAAAAACATTACATCGTGGGGAAAAAATACTTTTTATTGGTTTGTTTTGGTGTTGAAAAAAAAATTATATAATTTGGGAAGATTGACAAAGTTCAATTTGGTAGTTAAAACACGGATATTTTACATACTGGCTTTTATTTATTTTTACGCTGAACGTACTGTTCACTAATTATTATTTTAAATCATTAACAGTTTAGAAGCAGCTCCTAAATTACCTCTATGGTTATTTCTATCTTTCCGTTTGCGGACAAGCTTGGGGTACTATAGTCGTTCACTACATTGAATCAGGCGTGTCCGCCGGCGCCCCGGCTGAGCTTGGTTTGGCGCCCTGGGCTATCCTGTGAGCGCTATGGTACAAACGTTTGTTTTAACAAATGTGATAGGCTGTGAATAAAACGTTTTACTATAGTCGTACACTAAATCGGATCATGGGCGTTCTGTGATGCTTCTGGCTTTTCCGTGAGCGCTATGGCGCCTAAGTTCATTTAAAACAATGCGAAAGACTATGGATAAGAAGGGTTATTACAGTCCTTTACTAAATCGAAACCGGTCATCCTCTGGCGCCCCTACATAGAATATTTACAAATTAATTTTTAGATATATGTTTTCTATATATATACCCCTCAAATTCTCTTCATTGGTCTGGGTGATACTGCTCCCTTAAGGGGAGATGCGCAGAAAAAAAAAATTTCTGTCTTTTCTTCATACTGGGTTGGTTGCTCTTTAGGATTCCGTGTCCATTTTTGTTTTCAAGCAAATTAAAAGTTTAATGCCAAAAATGTTTTAATGAGTTCAAAATGCAACTTAATTAATTAAAAAATAATATTTCCCCCCGCCCCCTCCCCTTCCCAATCTTGCACGCCTTCTAAAAAAAGTTCAATATCCATCATCTTATTGTATATGTCATCACTGGAAAGCTGCTGGATGTCTCATGTATTTGATAGTCGTATTTTCCGTCATCTCGGAAACACCTAAAGCTTACAATTACATTTAAAATTACTTCTCGTTACCTTTTGTTGTTTTTCTCATTTTGCAGTTTTCTAGCACTAAAAAGACTACTTCTGTTTGTTAATAATACGATTCCCACCACATGTTCAGTATGTGTTCTTCATGTAATATTAAAACTTGTGTTACTAGAGAATTGTAATGGCTTTTACAGAAAAAAAATTTGTGTTAAAAAAAAAAGGAAATTTTAAAAAACGTTTGCATACTAAATGATTGCGATTTTTTTCGGACCTTTTAGAATTCTGACCAGTAGCTCTCTCAAAAAGTTGTCTAAAGAATGTTTTAATATAAACTGAAATATATGTAAATTTGCATAAAAATAAAAACCGTAGTGTCGTTAAAAGTACTGAAACATTCAAAATGGCGGACGTTTTTTTTTTCTCCATGAAAACCAAAATTGTTTGAGTTTTCAAACCCCTTTTTGCTGTTTAATACTTACTTTCATTTGCCAAACATAGTAAAGGTAAAAAAAAATGTAACGCGCATATCAATATGGTGCAAAATCCCACCGTTAGCTTCAGTCGTCTCCTCAACTGAATACCAAACCACATCTTTTTCATCCTCTTCTTATGGCCAGACCCCATCTTCTTCTGGTTTAGGTAAGTGCAGTGTTTCTTCCAGTCTTTTTTCTCCGGGGGGGGGGGGGCACTTGAAATTTTCGGGGGGGAGGGGGGCGGTAAACTTTCTTCGGGGGGGGGGGGGGGGGCGGACACTGTTAAAAGTATATATTTTCTATATAAATTATATAAATTTCATTTCGTTCGGGGGGGGGGGGGCGGTAAAATTTTCTCAGGTGGGCTTCGCCCCCCCCCCCCCCCCCCCCCCGAATAGATGCCTGAGAGTAAGTCTGGGTAAGTGTACAAGATGTCTGTAGAACTGCTTACATTTGGGGCTACAAATTCCAGAAAGACACTTGCCCGAATACCGTTTGCCCGATGGCCGTTTTCCTGAATGAACACTTGCCCGAATGCGACAAATGCCCGAATGGACACTTGCCCAAATGCGACAAACGCCCGAAAGGACACTTGCTCGAAATTAAAAAATATGACATTTTCTATATTGAAATGTGTGGTCTATGGGAAGTAACAATGTTTTTGTTTTGGCTGCCATAAAAAGTTTAGAGTTAAACTCCTTTATTCGTTGTCTTATATATTTAAAAATAAAGCTCTATTAAATTGATTATAACAGAAAATAGCTGTGTTGATGTAGTTTAAAAAGCTCAAAGTTTGAATAAATTGTTTGCCCTTATTAATTTTTTTGTTGATTTCTTAATAAAACAATCAACATTTTAGGTGAAAGGGAGTAAAAATGTTTGTGTTGCTTTAAATAACGCCTTAGATTAAAACATGCTTTTTTTAAAACGTTTCTTTTATTACCTTCAGAAATTATAAATTCTCTGGTTAAAGGAAAAAAATACTTTAAGTCAAAAAAATATGTAAAAATTTTAAAATAATTTTTCGATTTTTTTTTTGTGGTCAAAGGGACGTAACAATGTTTTTATTTTTTATTTTTTAAAGTAGGTGAGAGTTCTAAACTTTTTGTAAACCGTTTATTTTTTTATGGTCAAAGGGACATAACAATGTTTTTAATTTTTAAAGCTTTAAAATGGTGAGAGTTCAAACCCTTTATGTAAATTTAATTATTAATCTTTAGGTGTGCAAAGTTAACTGATATTTAGTTTAGATGGATAAAACATTTTTTTAAATGTTTAAATTATATAAAAATGGAACTTAATTTCAATCTATAATTAAATTTTCTAACGGTTAAGGAGTGCAACTCTGTACTAACTCACGAATACAATTGTTTTTCTTTGTTATTTCCCTTAGACCGAAAAAAATAACTTTTTGCGGTATAAAAAAACTCTTTCAGTTTGTGAACAGTCGCATTTTATTTTATTTTGTGACAACAGTTGCTATAGTTTTTGATATGTTACAAGCTGAAAAGTTGTTTTTGTTTTTAAAAGTTAACGTCCCTATGAGGTTTTTTTTACTTTCTCGTATATACGAAGTATAGAGAAAGTATTGTAATCGTGCAAAAAAAAAAAAAAATCGAGATTTTTACAAATCTCGACGTTTTACACCTCACTGATACGGAAAAACATAATTTTGCAATCTTGTCCGTATGGCTGTGTGTGTGTGTGTCTGTGTGTCTGTGTGTCCGTGTGTAAACACGATTACTTGAGTACCGTTACAGCTAGGTTGATGAAATTTCATATATAAGTATTTTATCAAAATCGTAGATCCGTATCAACTTTTGAGCGATTTTCGATAACCGGAAGTGGTACTTTTCTTCTTTGAATTTTTCAAAAGCCTATAACTTGAGTACTATTTCAGATAGATACATGAAATTTCACATGTAAGTAAAAGATCTAATTCTCTACCTTCTGTTAAATTTTGAGTAATTTCCGTTGACTGGAAGAAGTAATTTACGCTACTTTCGATTTCTCAAAAAACTAATGTAAATTTTAGAAGTACTAATAATATTGCGCACTATTATGCGCTTTTTTATTTGGCGT